AGGAACCTAAATTGGAGGTACCTACCATATATAAGGCCCCACAAAATATAGCCTTCTATGGTACAGTACCTCCATTTTAGGATCCTGAAATTACCATTGATATCTGGGAAAATTATCATGATTCACAACCTGAAATAAGACCATATTGGGATAACTCCCCTAATCCTAACCATGATTTCCAGGGTTCGGGAGAACAGGGTTCGGTCGCTATAATTTATCCAGACCTATCGTACCCGAAAAAACAAATCCCCTAATATCAGTTGAAACCTCATTGCAAGACATGTAACAAGCAACTATTTCTTTCGATGGTGCTTAAATCCCACTCAACTACCTGCAATTGACCGTGGCAATAGCAAATCCACCATTGATACTTGATTTTCCCAGCGAACTAAACCTCCATTTAGTTGAGGATTTTCCATTGCCACATTTGATTACCAGAGGGTATTAACCAATACGCCACTCATAATTTCACCTATATAAATCCTCATTCTATCTCCATTACATCAACACTTTTGGTAATGTTAAATCATCATTTATGGCCTTAAATCAGCTATAAATCCAATGAACATCAACATTTCCACAAATGTTCCTGGATTAAATCATCTTAAATCACACGTTTTCCCTATCTTTTCCACATTTTTCCTGGGTTAAATATGTTAAATCAGCCCATGGTTTTCCCATGGTTTTCCTATGATTTTCCCATGGTTTTCGGGGACCCAGCGCCATGGCCTCGCCTCCCAGCTGTGCAGAGAGTTTCTCCGAACCGATGCCGGTGACCTCACAGAGCTCCTGCGAAATGGGGCTTGCCGTGGGGAAAACCATGGGAAAACCATGGGAAAACCATGGGAACATGCTGATTTAACATATTAAACCCAGGAAAATGTGGAAAAAACAGAGGGAACAAGTATGATTTAAGATGATTTAAACCAGGAACATTTGTGGAAAAAAATAGGGGATTTGTGGTTGATTGACTGGTTGATGATATTTATGATAGCTAAGTTGGTGAGTTTATGACTCCGATAACTAATGGTTGTGGTACTATAACTACAACTTATTCCTGTAAAATCCCCGAACTAAGTGGAGGTTTTATAGCTGGAGAAATCATCTATAACTGGCGGATTTTTCATGGCGTTGTTTGAATACCAAAGGGTATATGGAAACTGTAACTAAATGGAATAAATATAGAATTCACAATTGGAAGCTCATATCGTTACTGTCTAATTTACACATGGAAACTTTTATCTGGAACTATAATTGCAACGGTTCTATCTCGATTGCTGTTGACTACATACATGGAAATATAAGTCCTACAGTAGTAAAAATAATCCTCGTTGTATATCCCAATATTTGTTGGCCACGTATCCCATTATCCGTTTTAAACTGTTGATATACAGAATGAAAACTATGTAATCAACACTTGGAAACTTAAATCACTACTTGGGGGCGCTTTGTTGGGAGTGATCTGACCATGGGTATGACCATGGTACTAATCTCCATCCATGTTCAGAAAGACTCACACCACTATGTGGAAAAACCCACATGGTTTCCCTACGACAATGATCTACACATGGTGAGTTTTCCACATCTATCTTAGATTTTCTGGGGTAAAGCTTTATGCAAGGAGTTATTAGCCACCAACAACTATATACGTGTTACAGGGGGTTTATTTCCCCACACTTTTTAAATGGGGATGTAAGTGATTTGGAATATTGGAAAAAACACAAACAAATTTATGAGAATACTATGGGATCTACCCTCTGGTAAACATACAAAAAACTATTGAAAATGGCCATAGAAATAGTGGATTTACCCATTAAACATGGTGATGTTCCATTGTTATGTTAGTTTACCGGAGGGTATGGGATCTAAAACCAGCAACAATGGGATAATCATGGGAATATAAAAGGATCTATGATATATTGGAAACAATAGGATACTTGGGGTTCCAGGGTGAAACATGTCTGGATGGGGGATTCATACATCAAGACACGGATTTGTAAACTGTACACAACTGAAGTAAACTGGTTTGAATGGTCGTGGAAACAGCGTCTGATGGGGATATCATGGGAATATAAGAGGTACGAATGGTTTATCTAGCCACCCATAGACACTTTTTTGTACGTCTGAACATGCGATATGCCTCAATTGCTTGCCATTGGAATGGGAAACACATGATACACCAAAATCTTTTGGAATTAGGGGGTACACCAATCTCAGACAAAATGTATCAAGATAGCTGAGATCATCAACAAATATGTCCTGCTGAGATCAAAAAAAATGTCGAGTCGATCTCGCCGATATTCCGAATACAAAACTATGTATGATGCATACATCTATATATATATATAATTATATATATATAGATAGATATCCCATATGCTCCATGTATGGAATTTCTCAAATGTAGATATAGCATTGTATAGCTACCTACCGGATACTACCGGTACCTGGGCACACCATGGGATCCATGGATCCCGCTTGGTGGTTGACCTACCCCTATGAAAAATATGAAACTCAGTTGGGACTATTATTCCCAATATATGGGGAGCAAAACATGTTCCAAACCACCAACCAGACAACTATAGTTACTATAGTTATTGGATTTTAAATGTTTTATCGACAAACATCACTGGGAGGGCCCAGTGGTTGTACACACCATCTGGTAGAATTTCATCATTTTTTTCTAACCTGAAAATAGTTGTTACCCTCTGGTAAACATACAAAAAACTATGGAAAATCACCATTTTTAATGGGTAAATCCACTATAATTCACCCTGTTCAATAGCTACATGTTAAATTAACAGAGGGTATATTCCACTTAATATCCCATTGAATGCTGATTTTTCGTAGTTAAGTATGGCTTACTCCAATATCCAATTATCAGGCTTGATTCTGCAGGCATCATGGTATTAGATTATGGAGAATAAACACCGGATATCCCAGTACCATTCAATACCTGGATTAAACTGAAGATGATATGTTACAGTAATATTTTTCCCAACGGGAAATCCACGGTTTGCGGAATCTATAGGGAGAATAAATCAGCATTTTCAATAGCAAACTGTTAGTTTACGGACACATGGGGATGATCTCACTAGAAACAACATCATTCCAGTGACACGCCGTGAGGTCACGCCGTGAGGTCACGCCGTGAGGTCACGCCGTGAGGTCAATCAGGTCATTATCCGTCTTTATGTATTATATATATATGTATTATATATATATGTATATTGTATATCTAAATTGTATATATGTTTTATATATAAATGTATTATATATATGTGTAATATATATATATATATATGTATTTTAAATATATGTATTATATATGTATTATATATATATGTGTATAATATATATACATATATATATATGTATTAGGCTTCCGGTGGTTTAGTAGGCGTTGAAGTCGTTGGCGGCGGCCCTGGTGGTGTCCCAGGTCCAAATGCTTCTGGTGGGGTTGGCGGCGGTGGGCCTGGTGGTGTGCCCGGGCCCAAAAGTTCCGGCGGTGTGGTAGGTGTTGGAAACACCAGCACAGAGCCTTGCCAAATGCCCCATAGCTCAGGAGGTGTCATCGGAGCCATGTCTCCGTGGGTTACCATAGAGAAGTCAGACCTGATGCGAGGGAAGTTGTCGGGGCTTGTGATGAAAGTATCAAAAACACAGTGAAGCATGGTAGTGCCTCTATGGGTTGCTAGTGGCTTGCAAAGAATGCAGTGACACAGGCTTCATTCAGACAAGATGCTCACACCCGCTGTCGTCACCTGTCATGTCCTTATCCGACCTCGGAAGCAGAGCGGGCCATGATACTGGGGGAAGACGCTTGGGACAATGAATCATGCCGGACATGCCATGAAAAGAAGTGCTAGTGAAGTCCTGGTGCCCCTATGGGTTGCTGGTAGCTTGCAAAGAATGCAGTGACACAGGCTTCATTCAGACAAGATGCTCACACCCGCTGTCGTCAACCATCATGCCATCATCCGACCTCGGAAGCAGAACTGGTAATGATGCTGGGGGAAGACGCTTGAGACAATGAATCATTGCCGGACATACCAGGAAGAGAAGTCCATATTTATTCAGAATGCCTTGGAAGCAGAACTGGTAATGATGCTGGGGGAAGACGCTTGAAACAATGAATCATTGCCGGACATACCAGGAAGAGAAGTCCATATTTATTCAGAATGCCTTGGCTGAGCGTGAGACCATTCCAAGTAGCGCTTCGGCTTGGCCGCAGCACATGCGCGAGGCAGCAGTGGCATCGTGAAACAAATGAAGGTCAGGGATTGCTGATGGACAATGATGGCTGTCAAAAAGCGAGCAGACTGCATTTGTTTGTGAATAATTAAAATCAAAAAAATCCAAAGAATCCAAAAAATCCAAAACTACAGACCACATGGAGATCCCCCGAGATTCTAGACATAGGGTCGTTTTTTTTGATGTTTTTGATTTTTTGGATTCTTTGGATTTTTTGGATTTTTTGGATTCTTTGGATTTTGGATTTTTTGGATTTTTATATGCACAATGCATTGATTGAAAATATACATGTGAAACATTCTATATTTGTATCTGCACGTATATATATATTATATATATATTTATGATACCCCCACTCAAGCTGAATTTGGTACAAAAATCAGAGCTCACCGTTCATCCCCTAAAATTCATCAAAAGTATCGCAAATACCAACAAAATCAACTGAAGCATAGGTTTTTGGGGGGTACCATATATATATTATATTATATATGTATTATATATTATGTATTATATATATAATAAATGTATATATATATATTATATATATATATATATATGTATTTTACATAATTATTCATCCAAATATATACAACTACAAAATATGTATATATATATGATATAACATGATATGATATGAAATGGTATGGTATGCAATGGTACGGTATGATATGAAATGATATGATCATATCTATCTATGTATTAATATGCATGTATATGGGATAATATGGGTATGGGACAAGATGGCGCTAGTTCTGCTTGTCCGAAATTTCCTCATCCCCCAACCCTTCGGACTGACCGTGGTCCTTCAACTCATCGGCATTTTTCACGCCCATCAAAGGAGACCTGGGAACCGGGCCATGAAAGACTAGAAACATGGGAGAAACCTCATCATCCAGAAAAATAACTTGCTGATTCTCTGTATTTCTGGATCTTTTTTGGGGTTACTATAACTCAGAACTGTTGAGTAAAACTGATGGCAAGAATGCTGTCCTGATCATGTCACACTATCATCGAGGTGTCCCAAGAATCTCGAATTCACCTGTCCCAAGACTGCATGACTTTCTCAATGTCCTGATGCACGGCGGTTCTTTCTCTCGCCCAGGATGATCATTGGCTTTATAGTTGAGATATTGACCACAATGGGTGAACATAGACCATAAATCGGTGGACCCCCGCAGTGTAAGGAAATCCTTATATTAGGAAGGAACATGTTGTGCAGTTAGGTTGGATTATAATGGATTATATACAATACAAGAGCCTACCTGACTACATGGAGGGATCGTAAGAAGCGAGTCTGGTGACCAAAATTCTTGGAGGACAACCTGGGATCGCAGCTATCTGCCATTGAATCAGGTTAGAATACGAGGGCTACTCCTGGCTTGAACTCCCAGGTTGCAGAGTCAACTTCTGCATGGTGATTCCTCAACTCCGATTTCTTGCTAAGCGAATCAAACAGGCGAATCTCTCTCAAACAAAGTCATGAGTCAGATGAGTCATGTTACATGTTCAATCTTTGATAGTCCACTATTTATTTTTGGTTTTATTTTTATGGTTATATATGCTCGATTTATATAAGCCAAAAAAAAACCTACAGGATTAGTTTCTCACAATCCAGTTGGGCTTGCAGTTTGTCCCCACTTGAGCTCCGAACACTTTCTGCAGCCAGTCCACATCCTGCGAAGAACTTGACGAAAGAACTTCGGACTGGGGAGGTTTTTCCCCCTGAAAAGGCAAATATCATGGGTTTATCTAACCAATCCAAAGGCACATAATTTGATTCATATTTGATTAATGATAAGGGTTATCTATAATATATCATCATTATGATGGTTGTATCATCTACATACTTCATATAATGATCAAAGAATGATAATAATGATAGTCCCCCATCATATTTGAATCATGGGTCTATCTGACCAAAAGGCCGCACATGTCATAGTTGATCAACATGTTCCTGTTCAACAACATACTTAAATATGCCTCTCTCGGATATATTCCATTTTCCGGACAAACCCACATATGTATGTGTATATATTTAAATACACAGTATATCAAGTTGGTCAAATATCCTGTTAATATCCCCAGGAATATGTTATTTTCATATCCCTATTGTTGAATATGCCATTTTCATATCCCTATTGTTGATGGTTAAACCACTGTTTTCTGGTTGATGTTAAACATAGATATTTGACTCCCTCAAAGTTCCGTTTATCTCAGTTATGTGTATATATATACTATATCATACTATATCAATAATTGACCAATTGACCAGTATTGAAATATTGAAGAATCCAAACATATTACATGTTTGGTATTCCTGTGCCGGAAATATGTATATATATAAATAAATATATATATATATATATTCATGCTATGAAAGCGACATAAATAATAATAATGGTAACAAAAGCCCAAGTCATATGTTGTTCTATCTTGATTAAAACATGACCTTGTTTTTGTTAAATTTATTATTAACATTTTCAAAATGGTAATAAGTTATTTTATGAATCTTGTTATTTCAACATCAACCCAGCGGAAACATCCTCTGAGATTTTTTCAGATAGCCAAATCCAAACTCTCAATGGAAAACAAATGGTGAGTCAAAACCTATATTACCATCTGGTAAACGTTTACGTAACTATGGAAAATCACCATTTTATAGCTGGGTAAATCCACTATTTCTATGGCCATTTTCCATAGTTTTTTGTATGTTTCCCAGAGGGTACAAGACATGTGAAAACATGGAATAACCATAGAACAATAACTGTTTAACAATTGGCCATGGTATGGTAGTATAGCCGTTCATTGGGACTGTGATCATTATTGCAATTCTTGTTGTTATAATAGCAATAATCCCAAAATACCAATCATGAATCATCAATATCATATATACATACACACATCATAGGATATTATGATATCATAATGGCAATACTATCATTATCCTATAATTGTATGTCATATTTAAAAAAAAACATATTCCCAGTATAGCACTCTGTTTTAAACAGCTATAAAAGCAATAATCCCATCCCCGCTAGATGGTAGTATGGCCCTTTCAGAGGGATTACTATATCATGATTGCTATTCTTATTGTTTTAATAGCAACACTCCCATTATCCTATAATATTTAATATTAGACATATATATATAGATACAACTCACTATAGCACTATACATTAAATAGTTATATATATATATATGTTTTTTTTTTTAAAAAAAAACTTCAATATCATATCATATCATATCATATATATATATATATATCAACATATAATATCATAAAGATAGTACTCCCATCATCCTATCATTCTATATCATACTGGATAATTCACATTATTAGCATTATATTTTGAATATCTATAAAAGCAATCAAACTACAATGTGGGTAAAACAATAATAGTCTATCCCCGAAATCACCATAATAGCAGATTATGACTAATTATTGGAGGAGTACCCCCCTAAGTTTCATAAACCATGGTTTACTGGTTGGTGATTTCAACCCCTCTGAAAAGTATGAGTTCGTCAGTTGGGATAATGACATTCCCAACTGAATGGAAAACTAAAATTGATGTTCCAAAGCACAAAAACCAGTTTAGTACCATAGTTAATATGTTATATTATATTATATTCATCATCTATATCCCATATATCATGTATAGTACCAACCAGTATAGTTCCATCATCCGGGGTTGACATTCTCCAATATCATGGGGAGATGCTCCCCAAACGGATCTCCAGGCCTCCTCAGGTTCTGAGGTGGGGCCCACAGAGGCGCCCGACCAGCGGGAGCGCGGGGAGAGTGGACTGTCCTGGATCCAGTTTCACCAAGAAACATACAATGTGAGGCCCCCCAGTGATGTTCGTTGGTTTATAAGCCCCGGTAACTATAGTTATAAGTACCATAAACCATAGTTATTGGAGTTATAAACCAACTTAGCTATCGAACGGGGGCCTCACATTGTAGGGATTTCATGGGATTTCACCATCCAAAATGATGTTTCTAGGTGTTTTAAGCCAAGGAAAAGGGCGATTTTAACAAGAGAAGTATCGGTTTCAGCAACAACAATGGGAATTTAAGCAGATCATAGCAAATCACAATATTGTATTGAAGGGTTTTAACTATCCATCAAAACCAGGACCAGGATTTGTTCACAGGCCGGAATACCAGAGGATAGGAGAACATGGGCAGAATCAATGTCGGTTTATCATTGAATAGTATGCCGTATGCCAAACAATCAGGTTTCGACTAAATTTGAGGAATCAAGCAGCAACATGTAGGATTTTATTAACATGAACCAGGGATTCAACGGGAAAACAGTGGAAATTAGGATTAAATGGTGGTCAAATGGCAATAGTTGGCTTAAATCCCTCAACTCTTAAGACAAGCATAAGGTCAAACATGGTCAAACACAGGGTATCAAGCCACAAAAGTGGAACGGTTGTTCATTAATTCAATAGTCAACAGCTTACTGTATATATGCTTGGCTGCTGAGCAACCCTATTCCTCTTTGTTGGGATAAGTTAGTGTGCCTGTCGGGTTCATGATGCGTATCAATCGCGGCGTAACATCTGAACCACCTCCTGAGCCAGTTGAAATCTCTGAGTTCCCTGTTGCCACCATGCTTGGACTCTAGGCAGGCAGGAGTTCGGGCTTTGTAGGCCAGGCTGCATGCCAAGACATCTCTTTCAAACAGTGATAGATCTCCGGATTGTGCTGAGTTGACACCATCCACAGCCAAGGAATCGGCCCTGTTGCTCCAGCGCAGGGTGGTGGCTGGTTCTTGAAGAAGCCGCGGGATCCCTTCCACATTTTTGATCACTTCCTGAATGCTCAAGGCCTTCTGGTTGTTGGGGATCAGTCGCTTGGTTTTGGGGCACCATTGAAGAAAGGGCATCAAATTGCTGTCCACATGCCTCAGAGGCACCTCGAGCATTTAAAACCAACCAATAGATTGCAATGAGGGACCCCCAAACCTGATGTTTGTTGCTTTATAAAAACCATTTACCTATAGTTACAAGTTACAAGTACCATAAACCATAGTTCTTGGACTTATTTGCAGCGACTTAGCGATTTCGTTACAATGGAGCCTCACATTGTACTGGTGAACGTTTGGTCCATCACAAAAAAATCTGGCTTAGAACCGTTTTTCGTCTGGTGAATCTAAATGTTACTGGGTGATATCATCGTCCATGACTTAAACATGACTGCTCCGTTACATGTATAGCCCTTCCACAGTTATAACTGGCTCATTTAACTTATATGTTTCACCTTAGTTGCAGGAGTTCCTTTATCCCATGGCCATACCTGGCTGAGAGGAGGATCCCACAAATCGTTTGTGGTTAAGCCATGGTTAATACGTCCAGCAACTAGCTGCCTGGCTTATCTCATTCTGCGAATCCCTGAATGCCATAAACCTATGGTGGTGACTTGGGGATGGTTCACTGGTTGGTGGTTGAGCCACTCCTCTGAAAAATATGAGTTCGTCAGTTGGTATTACCATTCCCAATATATGGAAGAATGAAAAAACAAATCCAAACCACCGACCAGTTCATGACATTGGCTTCCATGCAGTGGATTTTGACCCCACAAACACTAACCACATAACAAGGTGATCCTCCAACGAGGCGGCGCCGCCCCATTTGATCCGACAAGCCACACCCACATCCGAGAGCTTCCGTGTAGGTGAATTCTCGACGCCTCAGATGTGGTGCGTACACCAAGGGTAACCATGTATAGCCTTTCAGCACTTGCTGTTGTTTTGAAATGTGACTTAAACATTATTATCAAGGTATGATCAATGGGAATTCCGGGGTCCTAAAATGGAGGTATGTTCCATATTTCTGGCCATATTTTGTGGTGATATTCCCTGAAATTTAGGCCTAACAAAATAGGCCTTACCATTTGGCTATTTAACATAGCCATGGAAAATCACCATTTTTAATAGGTAAACCCTCTATAAATGGCCAATTTTCCATGGCTATGTTAAATAACAAGAGGGTATATATGGTAGGTACCTCCAATCAATCGGATCCTGAACTTCCCATTGATTTGATACGGTGACATCCATTTCTGGCGTAGGAAAAAATGGGTACATCCGTGGGATTGGATCTGAACATGGACAATGATTCATGGCTGGTGGCTACTTCAAAATTAGATTCCTGAAATGGCCATTGAAATGATAGTCCACCAATGTTCACCATCATTTTTTCCATGTGTTGTAAACAAAATGGATTCCATGTTCGTTTTCTACAATGTGGGCCCCGCCAGTTGCAAGTTTATATAACTGCAACAACCTATAGATACACCTACCATCTAATTACCCTAGTTGACATATATGGGCTTGTCCTAAAATGGGGGTATCCCAATCAATAATGTCCTTTTGGTAAAAATAGAAGGGCCGATTTGGTATACCATCTATCATAATTTAGCTCTTGTTAAAGGATGTTAAAGGGGTAAACCTTCAAACCCCTCTATTCATCAACCAACCAATGGGAAAGCCGGACATCTATGATCTAACTATGGAAAATCACCATTTTCAATGGGTAAATCCACTATAAAGACTATAGACTATAAATGGCCATTTTCAATAGCTATTTTGACATAACCAGAGGGTATATGGGCTTGTCCTAAAATGGTGCTATCCCAATAGCTGGATGGTACCACTCTTTCAGGAAAGCTCCAACGCCTGAAAAAAGTGGCGTTTCAAAAACGATGGTTGATGGTAGATATAACGAACTAGTTTTCATGGGGGTTATTTCATGGTTTATAAACCAACTTATAACTGGGGGTCCCCATGGGGTCCCCATCCTGTATGTGTTCATCTGATTCTTCAGACGCATCCGTTTCTGAGAAAGTCACTAAGCAAAGCTGGGTCCATGTTCTATCCCGAAGCTAGGATTCAATTGTTATATAGTTGTCTTGAGTTTCTATTTTGTAAAAACAAAATAGTCCGCACAAACAACAATAAAAAAACATACTCCCAGTTCATCGCACAGTTCTGGCCCTTTTTACAGTTCTAACTGGCTCACAAAACCTCATCTAAGTGATATATTTCACCTCACAATGTGGGGCCCCCAAGATAGCTACGTTGGTTTATATCTGCAATAGCTAATGTTTATAGTGCTTGAAAATACAGTGAGCTATTTTTTTCAAGCAACTTAAAACAGGGGGGCCACTTGTAACTTTGTTGCAGTAGTTATGAACCCATGGCCAAAACAGTTTTTCAGATTGTTTCAGGCCATCACTGCAGTTCCAAGCAGTTCATCCTGATTCCCATGGAAAAACCAGCAGCTTTCCAAGCAGCTCGACAAATGATCAGAGCTTCCAGCAATGGAAACGCCTGGGAAGTTGGAATGACACAGTTTAGGGATGATCCCGAAATTGGGAGTGGCATATATGGTTTATATATTGTTTATATATATGGTTTATGTATGGTTTTATGTATGGTTTATAGATGATTAAATGACTATACTGCAACTATGTATGATGTATGTACGTTGACTATGGGTGAATATGAACGGGGTGATCATTCCCAATGAAAGTGAATCAAACGCGCACAAGGTAGGGCCCCAGTTCGTGAAGGCTATGGTTTTGTAATGTTTTATAATTAGATCAACTATGATTTACAGTAATATATCTAACCTGTAGCTAGTGAGGTATAAACCAACTTAGCACTAGGGGCACCATCTTGCATGCGTTGAAAGCACAAATCACTCATGACAGTCATCCAGGTGGAAATGAATTCATTCCAAAGTATGTATATAGATTGGAACCTAGGATCATCTAGCTGAGAAAAATGGAATTGAACCAGGAAAATAAAGGATTAATAAAGTTGGGATTTAAACTGAGATGCATGAAGATACATGTATATATATATAATACACGATGTGGATGTTGATATAGCGGGGGGAGGTCAAGATAGTGGGAATTCGGAATTCTGGATATTCATGTCATGGAATCCTTACAAGATTGAGAATCATAACGCTCATTGATCCTTACGTAAGGATCATGGTGATTTGTGGTGATTTATGGTGATTTATTGTGACTTATGGTGATTTATATTCTGGTTAGTGGTTTCAACCCCTCTGAAAAATATGAAAGTCAGTTGGGATGATGACCTTCCCAATATATGGAAAAATCATGTCCCAAACCAGCAACCAGACAATCATTGATCCTTACGTATGGATTCAAGTAAGCCGAAAAAAAACACTGTCTAGTAGATCGGTCCGAGAAAATGGGTAGATTCAAATGTGTATGGGCAAACAGAAGGCATTCAAACCAAGAACACATAGAATTAAGGCATGTTCAACTGAAATGGTTTTGAAACTCTAGCAACTATACTAAATCACCCACATATCACAATTTGCCAACATTCACCGCAATCTACATGACTTCGTGGTGAAGTCGCAAAAAAAATCATTCATATCCACCCAGGTGTTCCTAGCTTGTTCTCTGACCTCGCCTCACTAGACAAAGATTTTTTGGGCAAAAACAAAAGACGGTTTATCATTGTAGGGGGTCATGCTACCTTATAGATGATTACTTGGTGGCTCATCCCACTTAGTAAGTGGGTTATAACCCCAGTTATAAATAGGATAAGTAGGGTTAAACAATCATATTCTGGTTGGTGGTGTTAACCATCTTGAAAAATATGAAAGTCAATGGGAAGGATGACACTTTGTCCACTTTGAATCTGCTGTGCCATGTGGCACTTGGTCGCTTGCATCGCTAGTGGCAGCACTGTACAGTGACCTCAGGTGCAGGGGCCATGGTAATCTGGCTGAACTGTACACTGGTCCTCAAAAATTTGCTGCCTAAAGCATTGAAGATCGTTGGGGAGTTCATTGTGCAAAAGCCTGTCACCAAATGTCTGGTGAGCAAAGCGGCACACCGCTCGACCCAACATCTGATTAAGCCTTACAGGGTAAATCTTACCTACTGCAGTGCGAAAAACACCGTGCTCATCGCGTCCTTGGAGCTGCTCGTGAGCTAGCTTGGAGTGATTGCATCTTCCTCCTAGCCCTGTGTTGAGGATGGCATGTCGGAAGGCATCCAATCGCAGCAGGAGCAGTGTCGTCGGTTTCTTTGCAGGTGACCCCAGCAAGCACTGGTCGAAACTGACGGCGCTGAAGCATTGCAAGGTGCGGCAAAGCCTAGCTTGCTGCGAGGCCCAGATACTTGCGGGGTCATGTCGCAGGGCCCAAAGAGGCCATTGTGGGTGTTCGACAAAACCACAGCCGCCGTACATAGCCAACTCCAGGAGTATTTCAAAAATGAAAAAGACCAACCGTGAGCCAATGCGAAGTTGCATCCATTCTTTGGCTGTTCGACCTGGAATTCCGTCTGGGTATGTACCTGTGCGCAGTGGGCGCGGCCCATCAGGGAGGAACCGTGCCGCTGTATATGTCTCACAAGGTGGTCCACCACCTGCACCCACAACCTGCCCTGCACGGATTCGGTTGAGCCACCAGCTGGTCGCAGTGTCGGTCGCCAGGTTGCCATCTTTGCGCTGCATACACATATCTACTGATATGGTAAGAAGCTGGGCGCCACCCTCAAGCAGAGTGGATTCGATCACCGCATGAAGGTCATTGGCTCTCCTATATCCACTAAAGAAATGCACAAAGACATACCATTTGATGTGTAGCCTTGCCGTTTCGGCTGCGAGTCCATGCTGTGCAAATGCCCCTCCTCCGGCATTAGGTCCCGGGGGCGCATGCATCACGAATGCTGGCACATCTTCTGCAAAGAGGAACACTTGTGGCTCTTCGGGGGGGTCTGGAGCTGCACATCTGCCTTGCAGTTCTTGATACGAGGTGCCTGGGTTGGTGTTGCGTTCCATCCATTTTGCTAGGAAGGCTTGAGCATCTGGCGTATCTGGCGGCGGCAGCAACGGCCCAAAAATTCGGACAGGAGGCATAAATGCTTTGGTTTTCCACCATCCCTGTTGTCTCATGGCACTGGCATACTGCTTGCCTTCCTCGTCAAGCCGATGAACCTCTTCCTCTGTTGCTGGTGGGAAGCAGGCTTGTATTGTGCGGAGGCAGTCGGGGCAGTCATAGAGGTGCATGAGCAGGCGTGCTCGGGCATGGTAAAATTTGCCGCAGGCATCGCAAGTGGCATGTGTAGCATAAAACCGCTCAATGCGTTTGTAGCCATGGGCACGGGCCGCGTGCGAGGCCAGTCCTCGTTTGGAGGGAAAGCACCTGTTGCACTGGTCACATTGCCATGTCTCCTGTACCTTCTGTGATGCTACCGGCAGTATTCCGCCTTTTGCTTCGAACCGCTGGCTGAATCTAAGGTGGAAAACCTGCCTTTCGGCCACTGCGGCGCAAAATTGTAGGCATGAGGAGGCTGCTTTTTTGAGTCTGCCTTTCCAGGAGGAATCCATTGCTACAACTGGCAGCCAACTGGGCAGGTCATCAGTTTGTGGTGCAAATGGCACGTCATAGTGCATGCGGAACCATCGAAATGCTTCCTGACAGCCTGCTACCCATGAGTCCTTGCTGTCAGCATCTGCCATGAGAAGGTTCCAAAGCGCCTGCGGACATTGCTGGGTAAGACGGCGGAGATACCGCAATCTAGCAACTTGCAGCGCATGTTTGGGCGGCAAAACGCCGGCAAGAGCTGCAACTGCATCCATGTCCAGGTGCAATGGGTTAACCCCTCGTAGCTTGCCTTTAATCATAAGGCAGAAGGGCTTTCGCAGTGCATTGTGCCATTTGTCCCATTCTTTGCTGGTGACCCCTGTCCACACGTGCGCATTGTAAAGGAACTGACTCATCGCCGTGGACTGAAAAACCTTGACTTTGGTGGGGAGCGCAACATAGGGTTTATTGTAGAAGGATCTGGCAAGGACACCCCAGGTGGAGCGTGCCAGAGAACTTCTCTGTTGGATCTCTTTCCCATGCACATGCCCGGATTGCATCCATGTGCCCAAGTGCTTGTAGGCATGTGTGATTCGTAGTGCTATGTGGCCCTCCTGGGAGGTCCAGCTGAGCTGGTTGAGGTTGTCAGCGAGAGCGGCCTTTTTTTGCTTGGAGCCCTTGCCGACAATATTCCAGAGGACTTCAGTCTTGCCCTGTTCAAAGTTAATGACAAGTCCTCGTTTCTTTGAGGCGGACAACATTGCTTCAACAACGGCTTGGATTCCTTGCTCGACCTGTTGCGTGGACCTTCCATGGACACCAAAAGCACAATCGTCTACAAAGGAAACATCGAAGAAACCAACAGGTGGAATGGTCTGATGATCCATGAGATTGGTACACTGCTCAGGTTGGCCATAACATTCCCATTCGGAGCCTTGCATAATTTGTTTGGCGTCTTTAAGAAGGCAGGACATGACCATGTTGAAAAGGATATCCCCTATAGGGTCTCCTGGTCGTGTTCCGCGTCTGGTGCGACACGGGTGGGTAATACCATCAATGAAGAAGTGGGTGTTCATCATTGCATCCTTCAAAATGGCCAGCATATGCGGTGTAAGGCCATGCAAGGCGAAGTCCGCATCTACTCCTGGCGCTATGGCATGGGCAAGTTCAGCTGGGATGCCCAGATCAAGCAGCACCTGGGTGAGTGCCTGAATGTCACCATTGCCTGGAAAGAGCGCCTCTCGTATGACACTGTAAAAGGCTGCCCTGACATCGAAAAAAACGATGGCCGATGGGGTGCGTGTAGCCACTGTCCAGTGCCAAAAGGTTTGAAGCATGTGATGTGCTGTGTCCGTTCCTTGCCCCTTTCTTCCACCAAATTGGAGTGAGTGCAGGCTGTGTGTCCATGCAGTCTCCAGCGGGCGACGGAGCGTCATGTGATACAGCTTAGCTGTAAAATCTGAGACAAATATGGATCTGTATCCTGCAGGGTCTGATGGGTGCATCTTTCCCTTGTGAAGGGGGAACAGGCGTCCCCCTTTCCAAGAGAGCGGCTCATGTGAGTGTGCAGCACACTTGGTTACCAACGGGAGGAATTGTCGAGCAAATACTTCACCGCCTGCCTTGAGGAGTGCAGGTGGTAGTCCATTTGGTCCTGGTGCGCGTCCCCGCTTGAGCTTGCGGAGACCTTGTTGAATGTCCCATACGGTGGGAAATGAGGCTGGCTCTTGCAGGTCCAAGATGTCGCATTGATGCTCTGAATCACGTTGAGTGAGTTCAACATGTGCAACTGTTTGGCCGGCCTCAATGTTTGCAAACTGTTCCATCCATACCCATTGTCTCTCTGCAAATGTAGTCGTGAATGATCCATCGGGCTTCCGGAGCATAGGCAAGGGGCGTATGGAACCGGAGGTTTTGCGATTTCGCCCTCCAATTCGGAGCAAGGTTTTGAAAACAGTGCGTAAGTCACCAATGCAGTCAGCTTCCTGTAGGTGCACCAATAGTTGGTCATAGTAGATTCCTAAGTCATGCCTGACTGCGATACGCACCTGCTTTTCAACTGCTCTGATGGTCTCTTTGAACTGCGATTCTTGGGTGAGATTCCATGCTCGAGCGCAGTCAAGCAAGTGTCGTTTCATGGCTATGGCATCCAACGTTGCTGCACTGAGCGTTGGGCGAGTTCTTGTCTTTTTGGTCTTGCCAAAATACTGGAGGCCAAGCTGGAGCAGCTGTTTTTCATACCATGCTGCATGCGTTTCAACACTGACATTCCATACAGGTACTGGGAGAGTGGCTAAAGCCTGACTGAATGCTCTGGTTCTAATAGGGCATAAGAAGGCTTGGTCGTCCCAAACTTGTCGGTTAGCAACAGAAACACATGTCCGTAGCAAACCCCTTGCCGTCATCATCACTGGCAGGTGATCGTCATGGCAAAACGTGGTATCAAAATCAGCAAGGACTTGGGTCTCAACAACAATGTCTCGAACTTGCTGAGAGACAAGAATGTAATCCCTGCGATACCGCGCTCCATTTGAGTGGGTCCAGGTGTGACCAGGGCCTATGTGGAATTGATCGAAGGTGGATGGAACATACAATTCAGCTTCGGTCAAAAATGAACCAAAAAGGTGGCCTTGGGGATTGAGCATTTCAGCATGCACCGAACCTGTGTACGGTGCGTACTCCTGATTGATGGGAGCATTGGCATCAATAAAGACCCACACCAATTCTCTAGCTGCATGCAACCGAAACAAACGAGTGGTTTCCTTCCACCAAGTTGCGACTGCATCAATGGGCCGCAGTCCATCACCTTTGTATTTGCTGAGGCATGGCGTGTGCAGCACGACAAAGGACATGTGGAGCTCATGATTTTCCAACAAGACGAAAAGTCTTCGTGGGTCAGCCCATTGTGTGGTCACTTTGAAATCAGCAATGGTCAGCTTGATCCCATTCTGCATGGTCGCAAGAGGGAGAAACTGGTGTATCCACAATTCACAACCTAGACAAACCGGGTTTGGTCCCTGAAACCCTGCTGAAAGGATGTGGTAGTGCTCACTTTTGTATCTTCCCTGCTTGGTCCGAGCTTCTTGAATGCCTACAATGGCAACTTGTCTGGCATGAAGTTGGTGATCAATACGGGCTGTGCGAGTCCCTGTTTGGCGACCAATCTCGTTTTGGTGCTCAAAATGATCTAAGGCCAGTACATTGGTTGTCACGCACGAAAAGGCCAAAGTGAGCCACGCTGCGTCTTGAGAGACGCAAGAATGGGGCATTGTAGCAGTATGACTCGATGGAGGAAACTGCATCACCTCATTACTGACAATGGGAGGGAAACACTGGTGAAACCTACTGGATACATGTTGCAACCAACACCAGTGAAGGTCATGGGGAGTACCGGCAAGCTCGTGGAGCCCTGGCGACTCCCATTGGGGGAGGCATCCAGTGTCTTGCATTGCAGCCCATTTTGCTATGGTATCGGCAAGTTCATTCCAGGGATCTCCTTTGTGGGCAGCAATCTGCACAACGTGAGTATCCTTCCCGAGCCAGCAGGATAAAATACGGCAAAGCTGCGCCAGCTTAGGGGAGGCATGGGTTATGTTTTCAAAAGTGGCGATCATCTGGCTCAACATGAGGTCGGGCCTGATGGTGGCCGTACCCTTGGGCAACAACCTGAGACAAACATCTTGGGCAACAATAAATGCTGTCAACTCGGCCGAGATGTTGTCTAGTGAGTCAGCGCCAATCCATTGAGGATGTTGAGGCGCAAGCTGCACTTGACCTGCATAGCAGCCCCAAAGGCAGGAACTGCTTTCGTCAGAGCAAACCACGATGACACTCCAACCTGCTGTGTGCGATCCCATTGACCCATCAACATAAAGCTCCCATCTCCAATCTGTGGGGTCTGACTGAAGGGGCTGTGAGAGCAGTGCATCATAAGTTGCTGGGTGAATCTTAATCCCTTCCGGCAGCGCCGATGGTGATGCAATGGAAAAAGATAGGCAATGCTGTATCCAGTCTGGTTGTATAAACCAGGACAGGGCCGATGTCTCGGGGCAGAGTCGACTCCAATCGTTGTCAGCAGGCTGCGGGATGACAAGTTCAAGGCACAGGGTGACTCTGGTACGTGGGTTCGGGACTCTGTCATGGGAGTCACATTGTGTTCGGACAATAGACTGGAGCTTTTGTGCTAGGTGAGCGTCCTGCATCTGATGGTAGGCATTTGGGCTTCCCATGGATTGGGACCATCAAGTTCCGGGACAATGTGACGATGAATGGCTACTGTGAGGGATAGGCCGTCATCAACTGGTACTACTTCATGTGGCCTGAGTTCACGCTCCCCGATTCAAGCAGAGCAGGTGTTTTGTGGATGCCGACATTCCCGTTCCTGATAGGCAATCCCTAACAAGGTTGTGTACGGCAACAGGTGAGGTGCCATGGATGCATGCCTTCGAGGGGGTAATCCTGCAAACTGAGAATCCACCAGGCTAATCAGCACTGAGTCAAAATTGGGAACAGGTTGCTGAACCAATAAAACGTGCATTGCTACCTCGGGCTCCATTTGGATCGGGTTAGGCTGAACAATGTGAAAATGCAAAGGCATGTCGGGCAAAATCACATCATGCCAGGCACGTTCCATAATGTATAACCACTCTTCAGGGTCATGATACAACTGTACATCTCTCGAGGCAAAAGACTGTGGGTAACGAATGTGATCAAGGAACCACGTAACCACTGTGACCGATGGGTCGTGCAACTGAGCTGACAAAAGTGAGAGCGGTTGCCACGCGCTCTGCAGCACTGAATGGAAAGTCAGGTAAGCAAAAGGGCAGGCTGCTGTTCCCTGCTGAAAGGGAGGCAAGATAGTCACTGAAATAGCCTGCTCATTGGGACTGGCATCTGATCCCGGGCATTGCATGGGCAATGACCGCCTTGCTGCCAACACAGCCTTGTCAATGGTCCGAATCTGCTGCTGAATGGTAGCAAAACTCAGTTGCAGTAGCGAAACTTCGAGTTCCCATTCTTCGTCAAGTGAAGACAACGCCAGTTCAAACTGAAAGCCATGTCTCACAGGGAAGGTCATATCACCCTCGATTCTTATGGACCCATGCATGATCTCGCAGAGTTGATGTGCAGTAAGGGGTCTACACCGATCTGTAACCCCAGCTTCTTGCATAATCACTTGGGCATTGACCTGTGGGGGCAACAGGGTACAAAAGGACGTGGGATGCCATGGGTCTTCAAGCAATTCAACTACTGTGATCAACGCTGCATTCATCGTCTGGTGTTGTGCCTGAATGACTAGCACGTGAGCCGCTACATCAGGTGTACCGCCAGAGGGGTGGGGCTGTACCAGTTGCAGGACAACCTCTTGAGTGGGATCGATCCAATCTTGCCATCTGCTAAGGATTTCAAAAGGCCAATGCATGGGCAACTGTCCTAACATGACGGCACGATAGTGGTCTGAGCGTGGCAAGCGTACTGCATCGGAAAACCAAGTATGTACAGTGAGAGCACTAGTTGCTTGATGTCTACGTGTTTCAGGTCTCTGGTCAACCTGCGATGCAAGAGCTTGGCGAAAAAGTGCCAGGTCTCTAATGCGCAATAAAGGTGCACTGTCACTTGGCATGCGTGGCAATTGGTCCTGAGGTATGCGTGGCTGGTCAGTTACAGGTATCTCATTGTTTCCTGCGTGAGTGTCCTGGTTTGGGTCGCGATCAGATAGAGATCGGTCAGGTGCATCCACCTCTGATGAATCACTTGCAACATGTGTAGTTCCAGGCAGCTGCATGAGCATAGTGTCATCTGGGTCATCTGGGTCAAGTGCATGGCTGGAAGAGGCATGTCCAGAGTGTTGGGGCCTCTCATGAACATCAAGCAAGGCACTCATTCCAGAAAAAATCTCTTCAGGCTGATCTCTGTGAAATCTGAGGACTCCAGACCACATGTGACAAGGCCGTTCAACACAAAACCGCCAAAAATTGTGCAGCTCGATCATCGTATTGGTGCAAATGTGATCGGGGACCGATTCCGCAACCTGATAAATGCCATCGCGATTACCACCGTGAAATGATGCAGTGAAATGCAGGGCAACTCTGCCGGGCGTCATTCCCTGTTCCAGGATGACATGCGTTTGAGCTTGGCTCCGCATAGCATGGGCTGGCCTGGGCTTGACAATCAAAACTTTGAGTGGTTCATTACGCACGATGTGATCAAACCATACAGTGCAAATGTCAGCATACCATAGGTCAAAGAGATTGTCAAGCCGCACGTTTCTCGGTGCATTGCAGCGCGGGAATCTAGTATGATGAACATACCAGACATCGATTTCAATTTCGGGCCCCGTCTCTGCATGACGGGTGGTAGCCAACTCGTCAAAGAGGGAGGTAAGTTCGATCAACCATATTGGTCTTGGTCTTGGCTCTGGGTGCCCATTTGGTGGTTGTGTAGGAATAGGTATCTGGAAATCAGGCGCCGGTGTTGTTTGCTGGTCGGAACATCGGTTTTGCCTGATTTCACCTAGACCTTTGGTCTTTCGGCATTGGTGATTTTGTTCACTTGTGGCATTGTACATGCTCCGTAAGGGAACAAAAGTGTCTTCTTCTTGTAAGGGGTTTTCTGCCCGGTCGGCTGCTTTTGGTTTGGAAAAGAACTGAGTGATGCTCGTTTGTTTCCTTCCATTTGTTGCAGGCATTTTGGCGGCACTCTTTGGTTGAAAAAACGCATCAATCTTTGATTGCTGCAGTGGCTTGGTTTGGTCCTTTCGCACTACCTCTTTGCCTTTGATCTTGCGCGGTTTTTGGTCTTGCAAGTCTGCAGCCTTGTTTTGAAGTTCAGCTGGTGCCAGTACTTCCGTTAGTCTGTGTTGCTGCTTTCTGGCAGGTGGTGCATCGTCAGGAACTCTCTGGGGGTTCAGGTCGACCTTAGGTCGCAGTACCGCACCCAGAGAAGTGAAAGGTTCTGTGCATACATGGTATTCAGGCTGCATTGCTTCGTCCTGCGCTGGAGCTAAGGCTACTGGATGCGGAAAGAAACGTGAACCTTTGCGTTGCTTCAGAGTCGTTGATGAAAGCTGGCACAAGCTTCCATCATCTTGTTCTGGCTCCGGAGAGGCAATGAAATTCATGAAAGTGTCGTGCTCCATGTCGTCCTGAATGGTTCCAGCAACTACTTGAGTGTCAATCTGAAGGTTTGAGTACGGCGGGACAATAATGAGAACGTACGATCCGTGCCGCACGGGCCTAGATCCATGGTCATGCCTGGGCCAGTCTATACCGTCAAGAGAAACCGTACACTGCTCTTCAAGGAGTTGACAGTAATGAAAAACCCCTGCAGTCATTAGCAGGTGAGACCTGATGACTAGATAGCCGATACGATGAACTGTTCTGACAACGGTTGGGTCAGGAGCCTGTCCTTCTGCATTGGGTAGATAAAGATACTTTGTGTCAATTAGTATCAGTCTATCCGTTGACCTTTGGGGGATGTCCCCTGTCCGTTGAACAATTGCTGGAATGGCTAATTCAGGAAAGTCCAATGGTCTGCAAGGGATGGGATAAACTGCCTCCAAGCAATCGAGGGGGACGTTCAGTGCTTCTGCCATCTCATGCGAGGGTTGGACAAGCTGAGCGTTGACCAATTGCATGACAACCTCTTGGCCCTGAAATTGGTACAAATGCAAGGCAGTCATGAACCTAGCGGCGCTTCTCGAGGCATTGGAAGCTGATGCGGAGCTGGTCATGGCACTGCTGTCAATTGCTGCCTCAGCTTCGGTACCTGCATTTTGGGGATGAAACCTGCTGTCTGGCAATGCGACTGTGGCTGAGGAACCGCTTGACGATTCTGATCTTTGTGCAAGCTGGGTAGGTGAATCTCTAATCATGATCTGAAAACCGTCTCCATGGCTAGTATCATGAGTGGGCCGCAGTGTGTTTGGAATCTCCTGCCAGCCAAAGGTGATCCTACATGCTTGGTGTCTGCATACACGTGCAATGTCAGCCGCATTGATGATGTCAAAACCGCTAATGTGGGCATCAAATGAACATGCAACGGAGTACAAGTAAAAACGGCTGCGGGCATCAGGCATGATGGTGACAAGTCCTGCAAATCGTGGCAAGTCTAATGATTGGGTGATCACAAGGTCTAGCACAAAGTGACGCAGGGCATACGGTCGTGGTGGATCTAGTGTAATGATCGTCAAATCATACCATTCATCAGGGTCAATTTGATCGACCCATAGTGATGAGAATTGCATTTCCCAACCCTGCGGGGGTCCCACAAGCTGCAGATTCCTAGGTGCTGTCCAACGACGAACCGTTGCATGGTCCAGATACCAGGTTCGAACGGGCACTTCAAAATCGGCATCATCAGGATCAAAGCCTAACCTAGCTAGTCGATGCGCAAGGTCATTGACAAAAGCTGGAGGCACATTATGATCAAAACGTTGTGGGTCCTCTTGCATTTCATCATCTTCTTCAGCTGGTCCTGGTGCACCTGGCACCCATGTAATGGGACTTTCATGATCTCTGCGCATTGAGGTTCCATTGAATTTTGCCCCAAAATTGCAGTTGCTTTCATGAAAGTTAAGACCTCTGGAGGAGTTCAACACGGCCAATGATGACAGCGGTACTCCAACTCCAGTGTCAAAATGTGCATGTCTTATGCGTCTGGTGGTTTGCACTCCTGCATTGGGCAAGCTTGAAACATCATCTGGTGATGCATGGCTGGCTTTCCACCACTGGGCGTGATGGCAAGAGATTGTGTTTGCATTGCATCTGCCAACGTGTTTTTTGGAGCACCTAGGTGAAGGGATCTTGACTCTAACACCCGCCTTTTTACCAAGTGAACCGTCATGATGATGCACATTCAAAACTTCCCGTTCTGAGGCATTGGTGGTGTCAGCCACTTCGTGCTAAGGATGACATCCCATATATGAAATGGAAAATAATCCAAATGTTTGAAACCACCAACCAGTTATAGATGATTACAGATGCATATACAGAAAAAAACAGACTCTCGTTAAGCTGGGGATTCCGATGAAGCAAGGTTGTGTTAGGACATGAAACAGGACCCTTAGGACCTTCAAAAAATCATCTCTAGACTCTAGATTTTCTCAGATCTGAGCATCACCAGCATCCTATTGTCGCTTGCCATTCACTAGATCTCCTAATATGGTCATGATGGTCAGCTGGTGTTTTTTTTTTAAACTCTGGTATTCAAACATGGCAATCGAAAATTCTATGTATGTATGTATATATATATATACATAATTTACAGACATGTATACATGTATGTACATGTATATGTCTATGTATATATATAATTTTATATATACAATGCCAATGCGCATATGGCGTTTATATAGCTGTGAACATCATCGAACTTACAGGTCGATTGTCCATTGCTACGTTTGATGTCCCCAGGGTCTCCAGCTAAAGGATGATGAACATAACCCGGGTGATGATCCAATTCATTTGTCTGGTGGGTTAAGAAAAACAACGTGATTGGATTATAGGTATAGGGATATCCCATAGTTATCCCATAGATGATTAGATGGTTATCCCATAGTTATCCATGGTTATCCCATAATAAAAAATGGATATCCCATAGTTATCCATGGTTAACCACTGTATACAGGTATAGTTGGGTCATGATTCACCAGGGTAGATACAGCTATCCCATGGCTTAGTCATCCGTAGTTACCATCTGGTTATTTGATATAGCCATGGAAAATGGCCCATTTATAGATAATTTTCCCACTAAACCCTCCATTTATAAGGGATTTTCCATGGCTATGTTAAAAAACCAGAAGGGATCCAATGAATGTTTACATTCAGCCCAGCTCCGGTGCCCCCCAGTGTTGGTAGGTGGTTAGTGTGGGGTCATGACCCGGTGGATTACCCAGGTGGAGCACAAAGTTAAATTAAAGGCTGCGAATTCTGTCTGATCCAAACCACAAGTTGGGGCACCCCAGTTTGTGAGTTCGCTAAGTTGATGCCAATAACTCCAATTTCACTTAAGGGTTTATGGATGTTTATGGTAGATATACCTTTTTTTCATAAAGAAGGTTATAAACTAACTATAACTGGGGGGCACCACCTTGTAAGTAGCAGTCTCTGGTAATCAAGTAAGACCATTATTGATCGTTTACCCAAGATTAAAAACAAAAAACATACAAAATTCAAACACCAGGTAAATCAACTATACATGGTCATTGTCATCACTTTTCTGTAAATTACAATTATGACCCTTAACAGTTGCAAATGGAGTTATAACTTCTGCAACTAAGGTGCAGCATATCACTTAAATGAGGTCAGTTCAGTCAGCGAGTAATTACTATTCTATAAAGGCTATAGCTGCATGTCATTAGCTATAGTTGGTTTATAAAGCCCATAAATACTATAGTTATAAGTACCATAAACCATAGTTTTTGGAGCTATGTGACGCTCATCTTCACCAATTTAGCGATCATAAATCAGCAAATGCGGAAAACAATATATCCTCATGATTCCTCAGGGACGTCCCCATTTTTCTATGGATTTTCCTATGGTTTCTGGGAAAAATCCACCATTTTCCCATAGGTTTTTCCTGTTGCACAGGGTTTTGGTCGTCACTGATGGAAGTAGCGCGGACCTGGAAGGCCAGCCGCATCCTCGTCCGCCTGGTTGCAAGTGTCACCTGGGCTCGGTGCCATGGGGTCTGGTCATTTTCAATATAAGTACCAGTAGTACCGCACAAGGCGGTGGCGGAAGTTTCAAAAATAGGAAACCTATAGGAGAGGTTGGTTGTTGTGAATCAGGGATGGCAGAGCGAAGCCACTGATGGACCAAAAGGTGCTTGAGGTCTCCTCTCTTTCTCTCTTTCTCTGACGATCTACCAACCTACCTACCTACCTACCTACCTACCTATCTATCTATGTATGTATCTATCTATCTATCTATCTATGTATCTATTGATCTATCGAGCTATCTCTCTCCCTCTCTCTTCATTCTAATTACCTATCTATCTATCTATCAATCTGTCTGTCTGTCTGTCTGTCTGTCTATCTATCTATCTCTCTCTCTCTCTCTCTGTCATCTGTCTATCTGTCTAGCTGTCTACCTGTCTATCTGTCTATCTATCTATCTATCTATCTGTCTATCTGTCTACCTGTCTATCTGTGGTGCAGTGTCATTCAGTGTAATGTAAAGTAGTGTAATGTAGTGTAGTGTAGTGGAGTGTAGTGGAATGTAGTGTAGTGTGGTGTAATGTAGTGTAGTGTAGTGCAATTTAGTGTAGTGGAGTGTAATTTAGTGTAGTGGAGTGTAATTTAGTGTAGTGGAGTGTAGTGGAGTGTAGTTGTAGTTGTAGTTGTAGTTGTAGTGTAGTGGAGTGTAGCGTAGTGTAATGTAGTGAAGTGTAGTGGAAGGTAGTGTAGCGTAGTGTAGTGTAGTGTAATGTAGTGTAGTGTAATTTAGTGTATTCGAGTGTAGTTGTGTAGTTGTAGTTGTAGTTGTAGTGTAGTGGGGTGCAGTGTAGTGTAATGTAGTGAAGTGTAGTGGAAGGTAGTGTAGTGTAGTGTAATGTAGTGTAGTGTAGTGGAGTGTAGTGTAATGTAGTGTAGATTTAGTGTAGTGGAGTGTAGTTGTGTAGTTGTAGTTGTAGTTGTAGTGTAGTGGAGTGTAGTGTAATGTAATGTAGAGAAGTGTAGTGGAAGCCCATGTCAGATAAATAATGGTTAAATGATGATTAAACATGATCAATATTATATGTATATATAATATAAGCCCATCCTAGTTTTAGTGGACAATCATGATTATAATGGATGGTAAAAGAGTACAACAGCCTACTTGGTAGCTCATCCCAGTGGGTTAGCAAAAAAAAACGTTTCTTAAGATGTTATAAGTGCAGGATGGGGCCCCCAGGGCCCAAGATAGCGTTCAGTTGCCTTATAAGTGGCTGAATTCTATGGTTTATGGTAGATAGAACGAACTAGTTTATGGGGGTTATAATGGTTTATAAACCAACTTATAACTGGGGGGGCCATCCTGTAGATATATGAGATTATATGAGTGTTCATACGGTAACTACATTTAAATATACAGATTTTTAAATATACGAACTTGTATCTTAGACTACCTCCGGATTTTTAAATGGACACACATATATCATGTGTTAGTATTATCTGCATTCTCTTTGTTCTGAATATCATTAGCATTTATATAAACTTAATATTGCATGTAAATATAACATATATTATTAGGTTCATATAGAAATATGCATGTTGCAAAACATGTTGAACACTACTACCTAATGTATGTATTTAAACACACATATAATCATATATATGTATGTATATATATATACACATGCAAATACATATGCATACAAATATGTATATATATATATAAATAGGGCCCCGTTCTTGAGCTTCTGTTGATTTCTTCCACTTCACTGTTCTTTGAGTTGTCTACTGTTTGGTTGAGCGACACAAACATATGGACAAGAACAAACAATTATGAAACAACCAATCATTGTTGTTGGTGGTTATATCATTTAACTTGGTCTATTTGTTTGAAGGTAAAATATATGCTGGTTTAATTATTAATAACAATATCAATCGTATAACCAATAAAAGACTTATACGTTCGAAATACCTTCTTTACAATGGGGTGAATCATCAACTTGCAATGGGAGGGAGCACCACTTTGTGATGGTTTTCACATTTGACATCCGTGTTCTTAAAAATAGGGCTTCCAGAAAGCTTAATGGAATATTACCCACTTAATTACAAAGCATTTAAAGTAATGTACTATCTGCAGCTTTTTGCTTCAACGATTCTCAAGCTGTCAGAATCCATGGCAAATCTTATAGCGACTAAAATGGCTATAGGGAAATGAATATCCCCGCCGAAAACATGAGAATTTCGGGTGCTTCACTAAATGTGCTCTTCTTTCAGGGTGATCCCTGTAATAGATGAAGTAGGTTTCTACAATTGGTGTCCATTTGGAAGTTGGGAAGTCTTGATATGACAGCCATGATCAAGCTCCATGGGATTGACGGCCTATTGTCAGCGATTCCATCATGGGATCCCCCAAAAAAAACTATCCATAGGCTATGACCAGTTCACGCTGTAAAAACAAAAAGCTAAGGCTAACTTGAAGGCCCTTTTTATTTTAGGTGAACTGAACTATCCATTGGCCCAGGTTAACTGAACTATTCCAGGTTCAACTATCCAGAAGGCCCTTCACAAAAAGAATCGCACAGCATCCGATC